TGGGGATAACAAAACATTGAAAACATTGTTATTCCCATTTCATACAAAGCTTTTTGAGCTTTTAGAGGCAAAATCGTAACACATACACACAAACATGACATGACACCCCACCGAAAATTCATTCATCATATATAAAGAATTAAAGAAGACTTATGAAGTTTTTACTCTCCAAAGCTTTAATATCGACACACACGATAGGCCTACTAAAAATCATGTTGTTGAGACCCAAAAAATTCATGGTTGGGCCCGAATAAATTATCAGCCCACAACGACAGTCTATTAAGAAAAAGCATAAAGCAGAGTACACAAAAACCCACCACATGCGAATTATAGTTCACGTGCCACACTAAATAAATAAATTCTCTAGGAGTTGAGATAAAATATACCGGGTCTACAAGCCCATGCCCAAATTAAACATCGCAGGATGATAAATTAAAACATGTCAAGCGACATGTCATGCCAAGCACGAAATCGTTATCTTACACCCCAATCACGCTACAAGCCTAAGTGGGCCCAAGCCACTCAAACACCGGGGCTTGCTTGAGTGGATTGTGGTATGGACGGTAATAAATCAACACGAGACCCATTAATGGGCCGGGAAATGGAAAGTCTCGGGTTGCTTGGGAGCCTCGAGACTCAAGCTCATTTCTTAGGCCCAAACATGTGGGTAAGCATAAGAGAGAAAATAGCCCAATAGCCCAAGTAAAGTAGCCTATTAATACAAACAAAAAGCCCAATGTTTAACAAAAAGCCCATTTGCTTAGGGAACCACCTTAGCCCATATAAAACTCCAAAAAATAACCCATAAAAGCCTCAGCCCTTTTGAAAAAATAAAAGTCACGTGAGGAAGGTTGGCAGATTCATTGAACAAAGCTGCTGGGAGGTTCCATCACATGCAGGGAGCAAGTTCCAAGCCAGAGACGCTCAAAGAACCAAGGAATACTAGCTTGCAGGCTGTCAGAAGCACCCTTTGGACCAGCATATATTTTCACTTCCTTTCCTTCATCAGATTTGGCCAAAGAATGGGGAAGGAAAGAAGAAAAAACAGTAGCCAAGAATGGAAGTTCCCACTGAATAGCTACGGGAAAGGGGGCATTGAGCTCCCAAATTTCCTGAATTCGTGCAAATAGACCAAGGCAATTTTTGTCAAGATAAGGAAGTTAAAGAAGAAGATGAGAAATGAGGAAAAAGCTTGGCCAAAATGGGTAGAAGCCATTAAGGTTTCTTGAAAATTTGTGGTTTCCAGCGGCTATAAATTGAGGCTTCTCCTACCTAACGAGAGCAACTCAGAGCAGGCTTTCTCTCTAACTTGCAAAAACCCAGCAACCTCGTGCATTGTTCATCTCCTTCTCCATTTTGTTCTTCTAGCAGCTGTCAGAAGAACTATGCTCTTCATTTTCCCTTTCCTAGCCAAATCCCTCACAAAACATCTCCTTCCTTACCTTAACACTTTCTTTTCTCATAAAGCAAGCCTAAATTCTCTCTTAGTGCTAAACTCATGTTGATTTTGCTCTCATGTCATATGCCACTCACGCTGAGCTAAAAGGATTATCTGTAAGCATGCTAAAACCGTCTGTAAGTTACCATTATTCTGGTTGGTGAAGATAGCCAAAATATTTACTAAGGCTTTGCTGTCATTTCGAAGTATTTTTGGGGCTTAATTTTTGAACCCAAACAAAGGGGACAGTCTCCTCAATCTGCCCTTTACGACAGCCTAGCCCATTATAGCTGCAGGAAGAAAATGACTCCTACATATGCATCTAAAGATTTCTTTGGTCAAACAAAATTGAAAAATTCTTTACTTCTGTAGCTGTCATTAGTGGCAAACCTATGCATGTGCAAGGAGGTGCACCTACACCTCCGGTGGCCAGAAAACTCCATAAGAGCTGCTGGAGTTGTACCTCTGTTCACGCACGAAAGCTGTTCGATGAAATGTGAAAGTGAGTTATTGCTGCGCTACACGCAACCTTCTTTTTTTAAAAAAAAAACCTGGCCAAAAAGACGTCATTTTGGACCAGGGTTTTAAAAAATAATAATAATAAGGTGGGAAAAAAAGAAGGGAAATTGCTAGGCCATTCGTGGGCTTCTAAAAGGGTTTTTATAATTCTTACCTAATTGGGTTTTGGGAATTCCGTATTTAAGTAAGATTGGGAATTCTCTTTATAAAAAATCAATTTAACATCACCTAATTTCATCAAAGTGTGTGTGCATCAAAAGAGTCCTGTATTTTTTTTTTTCCTTCTTGAGTACGCCAATCCAAAGTAAGTCGGATGCATTTTTTTTTTTATTGAGCAAACGCCAATTCTTTTTATTCTTTTTTTTAATAATTTTTTTTTTCTTATTTACCTCTCTCTGTATTAGTAAGATCAGTAGCAAACTCGAGAGGGAAGAGGCTACATGACATGCTATTCGAGGTATAATTAATTTTTAATAAATTCTTTTTTCTTATTTAGCTCTCTCTCTGTCTTTTTTCTTTTTTTCTTTTTTTTTTTAGCTTTTAGCTTTTAAGAATTGCACATCCGCTGCCATGACTTATTTCTCCTGACAACTTAATGACTCAAATGACTATTGGCTTCACTACAAAAAAAAAATCAGCAATAGTCACCTTTTTTGGGTGACTTTTGAAAGTATTAGTCACCTTTATTAGTGATAAAGGCTTCAGTGAGCATGCAGCTACAAATTTTGAGTTGGTGAGATTTGTGAGGGTTATTATTGGCCTTTGCCACCATTAATAAAGAAAAAAGGGGTTGCTGGGTTGTTTTGGGAGAGAAAAGCTTACTGGTCAAATACCTTCGAATATTGTCTTTGAGTCGTTGGGAGCTCACTGGTCAAATACCTTTATGGATGTCTAGAGAACTTAAATCTGGATTTTAATAGACTTAAAGGATCAATTCCTAGTTGGTTGGGGACTCTTCCAAGGCTCTTTTATATCAACTTAGGCTCCAACTTCATTTCAGGTGAATTTCCAAAGCAAATTTGTAGACTAGAAATGTTACTATCTGAACAAACTGCAGCTCAAGTTGACCATAATTACCTTGAACTACCTTTCTTCATCCAATTGCGTGACGACGCGGAAGCTTTACAGTACAATTATTTGTTTTATTTTCCACCATCTACGTATCTATACAACAATAGCATCAAAGGCAATGTACCTACTGAGATTGGCCAGTTGCAGTTTCTCCATCAGTTGGATCTTAGCTTGAACAACTTCTCTGGCAGCATCCCAGACCAAATATCTAACCCAACTCTTGGTTATCCGGGTTCTACAGAATTTTAGCTCTTGTTCCTGCAGAATGGTTAAGCCTTGGCTCCTCTCTTGTTGCTGCAGAGTTTTGGTTCCTTTTCTAAATCATCAGTTAAGAACAATGACATGGCACGAGTAGGACCTATTTTTTTGCTGAAATGGATGACACGTGTGGAAAATTATAATAAATTAGCTTCTTCTTTTTCTTTTTCTTTTTTCCTGTCTCTTCCTCCCTCTCCATCCTTACCTCTCCCCATCCTTCCTTGCCCAGTCCCAGCCAATATTCCCTAGCCTCAGACCCACCCACCCCAATATATTTCAGAATTATATCACTCAACATGCTGAACAATTTTAGGACCCAACTAAGATCAAAGCCATTTAGAGGAAATAAATTATTCACTGGGAATTTCTAAAATTTATTTTTATTGACTTCAACAAGGTAAAAGGGAACAACGAGATCTTTCCATACACCCATATTGGATTGGAAGTGGTAGAGGTGTGCTTAATTGTGATGGGGTCTGGTTGTTGGTTGATTAAACCCTAATTTTCAGATTTGATGTGTGTCATTCGTTGGCACTGTGGGACTGGATCTGATTTTGGCCACAGTGGTTGTGGTTGAAGTTGGTTTTTGGTTGCATGGTTGTTGATGAGTTGGGGTTGCTCGGATGGGAGCTTTGCAGGGTTGTGGGGATTAGGTGGTGATATCAGCTGAGGCTGGGCAAGGAAGGATGGGCGGAGAATGATGGAGAGGGAGGAAGAGACATAAAATAAATAAAATTTAAAAAAAGTTTAATTGTTAAATTATTAGAATTTTCACACATGTCGTTTTAGCAAAAAAGTCAGTCCTACTTGTGCCACTCCATTGTTTTTAACTGATAATTTGACTTGACAATGGGGAGCAAATGAGATACAAAACAACGGAGTGGGACACTTTAATTTCCGAGGATGATGTGAGACATGCTCGTTCGGGAGTGCTTCTAAAAAGGTTAAAAGCGTTTTTTGACAACCAAAAGTACTTTTAACGGCGTTTGGCAGAAAAGTTTAGAAATACTTTTGGGCTATAAAAGCGCTTTATGGAGAAGCATCTGTCATGTGTTTCTTCAGGAAGCACTCCCAAGTGCTTTTTCAAGAAGCACTTTGATTTTTTATAAAATTTTCAACAATTTTATAATAAAATTGCTTTTGTTACAAGTGCTTATAAGCAAAAGTGCTTTCTAAAAAAACAGGCACAAACGAGCCATTAATCATACTTTTAGAAAGCACTAGCATAATTAAACCTATAAAAAATTTAAAGTAGACTTTGAAGTTTTCGCAGGAGACTTGAAGCTTTTACAGGAAAAATCGTAACACGTACACAGACATGACAGTTACAGCCCACCGAAAATTCATGCATTATATCATATATGAAGAATTATAGAGGACATTGAAGTTTTTACAGTCCAAATCTTAATACACTCAACACGCCTACCAAAAGTCGTGCATCTAACAGATCTTTGGTCAAACATATATATGTCTAGTTGCCTAGAAATTTGCATGACAAGATAGAAAAATGAAATGATATTATAAAAAATTATGGGTTATGTATCGTCCATGACTTTTGAATTAAAATGATATAATTGATCTTTCTTTTGCTTTTCCTTAGCTTTGATTAACTAAACCATTTTGCCTCAAATATATATATATACAACCTAAGAGCAACCTAACCATATCTCATACTTCCCACCAAGATATATGCTTGTACAACTTAATGGCTCAAATGACTCTTAGCTTCCTTGCCATCCTCTTTTTCTCTTACTTTGCATCTACAAATCATGCATGCCACCAAATTGAGAAGAGCTCTCTCATGTCCTTCTTCCTAACTCTCTCTTCTCCTCCTTTAAATTGGACTTCCATGACCAATTGTTGCTATTGGGAGGGAATCACTTGCAATCAAAATGGTTGGGTTACCCATTTACACTTACCCTCCAAGGGGCTCAAAGGAGGCATTCATCCCTCACTTGGAAATCTCACACATCTCACCCACCTAAACTTCTCTCACAATTCACTATACTGCCCAACTTCAAAAGAAATTGAATTCTTCTTGCCCTTGAACCGTCTTAAGATCCTCGATTTGAGCTATAACCTTCTTTCTGGAGAGCTTCCACTTTCTCTACCATCTAATATCCAAATTGTGGATTTGTCCACCAATCACTTTCATGGAGTGGTTCCATCTTCATTCTTCCAACAAGCTAGGAATTTGACTAGTTTCAATGTAAGCAACAACACATTCTCAGGGCCTATCCCATCCTTTATTTGTCTCCATTCTTCTCCCATGATCAAACTATTGGATTTTTCCTACAATAAATTCAGTGGCACTATTTCTCGCGGATTAGGGGAGTGTTCCACACTACAAGTTTTTCGTGCTGGCTACAATAACCTCTCGGGATTACTTCCAGCAGATATCTATAATGCTACCACTCTTCAAGAGATTGTGTTACCTGTGAATTTGCTTCATGGAACCATTAGTGATAGAATTGTCAACCTCACCAACCTTGCAATCCTTAACCTCTACTATAACCAATTGAGTGGTGTGTTGCCCTTCCATATTGGAAAGCTCTCTAAGTTGAAACTCATCCTCCTTCATTTCAACTCTATTGAAGGTTCTTTGCCCCCAACTTTGATGAATTGCACAAACCTCATAGAACTACATATTGGAGACAACAACTTGGATGGAGATATCTCGGCACTTAATTTCTCCAAACTTAGTCAACTTAGTAAGCTTGACCTATGGAGTAACAACTTCACTGGCACCATTCCAATGAGCCTTTACTCATGCAAATACCTGAAAGCAATTCGATTGAGCTTAAACGATCTAGAGGGACAAATTCAACCTGAGATTATTTCATTGAAATCTTTGTCCTTCCTGTCGCTTAGTGGCAACAAATGGACCAACATCACAGGGGCAATGAAGATATTGATGCGTTGTGAAAGCCTCGTATACATAACGTTTTCTTACAGCTTTATAGGTGAGGAAATTCCAGCTGATGATGGTCTGGTTGGTTTTGATGGATTTAAAAATCTTCGAATATTGTCTTTGTGTGGTTGTGAGCTCACCGGTCAAATACCCTTATGGTTATCTAAGCTCAAGAAGCTAGAGATCTTAAACCTGGATTTGAATAGACTCAGAGGATCAATTCCTAGTTGGTTAGGGACTCTTCCAAGGCTCTTTTATATCAACTTAGGCTCCAACTTCATTTCAGGTGAATTTCCAAAGCAACTTTGTAGACTAGCAATGTTGCTATCTGAACGAACTGCAGCTCAAGTAGATCATAATTACCTTGAACTGCCTATCTTCATCCGATTGCGTGACAACGTGAAAGCTTTACAGTACAATTATTTGTTTTATTTTCCACCATCTATTTACCTATACAACAATAGCATAAGTGGCAATGTACCTACTGAGATTGGCCAGCTGCGGCTTCTCCATAAGTTAGATTTTAGCTTCAACAACTTCTCTGGCAGCATCCCAGACCAAATATCTAACCTCAAAGACTTGGATACATTGGATCTCTCCATGAATCATTTGACTGGAAAAATTCCAGATTCACTCAAGAGTCTTAACTTCTTGTCATATTTGAATGTCTCATACAATGATCTTGAAGGACCAATACCAACAAGCACCCAGCTGCAAAGTTTCAATGCCTCTGCATTTGAGGGGAATCAGAAACTTTGCGGTGCCCTGCTTCCAAATGAGTGTGGACTAGTTAATGGCAGTGATGCAGATAACAAGAACAGCCAAGATGTGGACGATGAGGATCAAATTCCATGGTTTTTTATTTCCTTTGTGTCTGGATTTATTGTAGGGTTTTGGGGAGTATGTGGTTCTCTAATTTTAAAGACGGCGTGGCGATATAGATATTTCCAATTCCTAGACAATGTACAAGATAGGCTCTATGTTATGAGAATAATGTGCATGACCATGATGAGGAGAAGGCTTAGAACCTAGATTGTATGTATACATACTTTATATTCTTATACATTTTGTAAACCATAAGTATTTTGATCAGTTTATTTTTTTCTGCCTTATGTAAGACACAGTTTTTTTCTTATAATTCTGTTTTGTGTTCTCTTTCTTTTTAGACTATTCTCTAAGTCAAATGAAACCAACAAAAGAATACTTCTGCCTGTGAGAGCCGTGAATATACTTGTTCTTTGATTTCCTAAAACCATCCCTCGGACTATCTTTTTGAAGCCTAAGCTTAGTTCAGCTAATTTTCTGTTTTGCATGAATGGTTTAAGGCATTGGTTGGTGTCCTTGGCTACTCGAGTTTCCCAGCTCTTGGTTTTCCGGGTTCTGCAGAATTTTAGTTCTTGTTTCTGCAGAATGGTCAAGCCTTGGCTCCTCTCTTGTTGCTGCAGAGTTTTGGTTCCTTTTCTAATCATTTCCTTCCTTGGCCTCTTCTGTTTGATTTTTCCTTAGTTGCGGTTGGGCCTATTGGCCTCTGTTGTACAAATGGAAAGGAAAAGAAAAGACTTGCTTTTCCACTAGTTCATTTTTCCTTTCTTTGGGATGAACAAATGGAAAGGAAAAGAAAAGAAAAGAATTATTTGACATGAGAAAAAAAGGGGATGGTAATCAAAGAAAAGCTGCAGGAAGAACATTAACATGTCTCAAGATGTTGAAGTTTACCACATGGAATGGAAGGCAATCTCAATCCCTTGGAAGTGAGAGCTAGCCGGTCATCTTCCTTCTCCGATGGTCCAACCCCAAGATTTGAACATGCTAATTTGTTGGTTGGTACCATTCATAAAAAAAATATCATATTCCAAGGCATCCGCAAGAGTATGGCATTGGCATGGCACCACAGAAATCCGAATAAAATTAATCGGGTGCTACTTGAGAGAAGTGTACAGAACACGAAAGTATTTTAAAAAATATTTATATAATACTCACATTAATCACTAATATGGAAGTTATTATGGGGTTTAAAAAGTTATTAAATAAGAATAAAAACCTTAAGCTGGACTACCTGGGATGGATTGGATGGTGACATTTAAAAACTTAGTTAGGGTAAGTGGTCCATGGGTTCCACTTTTATTCAGGGCTCATCCTCATTTTAATGGTAATGTCCTTGATGTCTGCATGTATTCAGAGGACTCATCTTCAATCCTCTGGGATGGGCTCTTGTATTTCCAAACCATATGGACGGCAACGCTGCACATCATG